AAGAATTTCCTATGTTGCTGGAAGAAGAGCCCCTCCTCACATCTCCTCCTTCCCTCCTTTTCTTCATTTCTTTTTCCTCACTCCTCTCCCCTTTTCCTCTAGTTCTCTTTCTGCCTCTCTTTTCTCCACTTCTTCTTCCTTTGCTGCTTTAAAAGCAATGTATTGTATGAAAACATCTTTGCTCAGCAGTGAGATCTTACAGGTGAGTCATTTCTCCCCACGCTTTCTCTGCTCTTTATTCCTCCCTTTTTTCTCTGACCTCTCCTTTCTGTTCTGGTAAATGTGACCTTGCAGTGAGCAAATAAATGCCAGCTGAGAGAGCCATTTGTTTGGCACAGCTGTAGCTTCAGGACAACGCTAATCCCAGAGAATTTCAGGCTGTAAGCACCGAGGACCAGATTATACCTCCCTGACTCATGTTGAGTCAGGATTTTACTCCAGAATTAGCAAGTCTACCCAGAGTAAACCCCTACTCAGATTAAGTAAAGGGTTAGAATCTGGCCCATAGTAAATGAAGAGCGCAGTTGTATAATAATTGCCAATGTAGCTCAGTGTGTGACTGCTGTGTTCCTGACATGCATCAGAAGCTCACATAACCCAGTGTTATCTCCCATTTTATTGACAATTCACAATTGAAATACATGGAATCACCAGTTTTACATAAATTTTAACTGTTCATGAACCTTTACTGATTACTGTGGTGTTAGGTGCTTTGCCTTTTATCCATTAAAGGCTCTGTGTGCGAGTGTGTAGCTTCTTTATTACATTGAATAACATCCAACTTTTCCTGCATTCTTGGGGAACGAGTGGAAGCAGTAAATACTTTGAGATGGGTTGATATTTCCAGTGCTATGTCTCAGCTCAAGCATGTTGATCCACTGTACTTGAAAGCTATGAATATGAATCACATTCCTGTCACTGGGATCAACTGCAGATCTGTGCTGTCAGTGCAGCCCATAGCCAACAAAGGCGGGGGCTTGAACTAAAGGAGTACTGGCATTAGCGAGAAGGAGAGATGAAAACTAAGGTTAAGGACACTTCATAGAGGGAGGTTTGCATAATGCGGCAGTACTGAAGTTTCCCTTAGTATAGCCTGCTACCTGAATACAGCTTCTGTGACAGAGTTCACCACATGCCTCTCATATCTTGTAAGCCCTTAATCCTGCATAAGTGATCAAGTGTCACAAGGCTGATGTGTTTCTCTTCTTTAGTCTTGGCTTGGGAATTTACTGACGGTTCAAGATGCAGACTCAGATTTACTTTTGTTGTTTGAAAATAGAGAATGGCAAAATCAGGGATGGATTTGATTTTGCAGAAGATGAGACGGATGTTCTTGTGTCTGGTCTTGTGGCACAGGACTGCAGGCCAGGAGGTCTCGGTTCTGGTTCCCAGCTCTGCCTCTGACCGATTGTGGGACCTTGGGCACGTTCCCCTGTCTGTGCCTCATTTTCTGTAAACTGAGACTTAAGTGTTTGTAAGGAGCTTTGAGATCCTTGATGGTGCTATAGAAGTTCCAAATGTAATTATAAAACATTTGAAGTTGAGTGGTTGGCTCTGGGTCACTCCCAGTCCCCCCAACCAAAAGTATTAAGGAGTTTAGGCTATATGACTCTGGATTTGGCTCATCTCCATATATGTACAAACAAAACTGGGAAGGGGCAAGACTTTTCAAAACCCAAACCAGGGTATTTCAGACCGAGGTGCCGTTTGTTTAAGTTATCCACCACCAGCAATCCATTATGAGAATTACAGATAACTTATTCCGGTTTTTGCCGCTCAGTAATTGAGAGAATGTTTATTTAAAATGTGCACATGGAGCAAAAGCCAAATATCTCCACTTCTATATTTCTCAGACTAACATTGCCTCAGTAAAAGAAGATTAGATTAATTCAGTTGTTAATTACCCAATTCAAAGTGCAAAGTAAGGATTTAAACAAAACAGAGAATCCATCTGGTTACGTGCTTGGCTGGAGATATGTGATGACTAAGGATTTCCAGAGACCTCCCTGACAATCTCTGCTTCAGCCTCTGGGGCTGTAGGACTCTGGAGCTGGCAGCCAGTGGGGCCCTGGCAGGGTTCCAGAGACAGGCGACGGGGCCCCCTGCAAAGTTCCAGTGACAGGTGACAGACTCCTGAGGGGGCCCTTCTCAGGGTTCCAGCGACGGGCGATAGCCTCGCACGGGGGAAGGGGACGCCTCGGGCGAGCGGCTGGGGGTGTCCCATTTTCTCTTTGGGAAATATGGTCACCCAGCAGTTCCAAACCACTGTGGACGGAGGGGCAACCCCATAGCTCCCAGTCACCACGGTGGTGGGGGAAACCATGGAATCGCAACAGCAAGTCACAGACAGGTCACAGCTTCCGTGAATTTTTGTTTATTGCCTGTGACCTGTCCATGACTTTTACTAAAAATAACCATGACAAAATCTTAGCCTTAGTGATGACACAAGATGGAACCACGGTATTGACGGTATTTGGGTAGTGTATTCAGTCTTTGCACAGAAACAGACACTGATGCACACTCATTATTGGGGTACAGCTTTGTTAAATTAAGATTTGGTCTTTTGAATCCAGCAGATCAAAAAGTTTCATACATATTTTTTCTGCACTGTCAGCAAAATAATAATGTACATAGACATAAAAACCCGAACTTTATATATATGCACACAGGGATGTGTGTGCGCTCATATATATGTGTGTATACGCATACTTAGAAGTGAACATTCTTAAATGCTGTATATGTATATGTGTAATATCTTATACATATAAATATATGGTCCATCATTCTAATTCCATGCACAACTGCACTATAACCATTGTGGTTTATATGATCACACTTCATAGATGCATGACTCCTGAGTCGGAGA